CTAAGAACTGAGAATTCCTGTATAATGCAACACAATTAGTGTTGCCCAAATGCGAGACCGAGACACGAACTTGCAAACTCAGTCGTGGTCTAGGTCTTGGCCTTGCGCAAGACTCTCGTCTCTAGGTAACAGTCTTACCTATTAGCTAATTACTAGAGAGTTATTACTGTAATTTTGTAGATATGAGAAACCTAACTAAGTCTGAATGAAAAATTAGAAGAGTTAAATGCAAAAGTATATTGGTTACACGAATTCTTCACTGATTGTAACTAAAATTGTCAAGTATTAGTTATTATTTTCCCTCAATTTTTATTCAAAAAATCTATTTTTTTTTACCAGTCTTGATCTTGGTCTTGCGGTGTTGGTCTTCGATTGATTATTTTTGATCGATTTTCGGCAACACTAAAAACAACATACGTTATTTGATTCAACTAAGTATTAATCTTTGGGTGTATTCTTTTACTGTTCTAAATGACAAATCCCCACATGATATATTTTGTCAAAATTTGGTATATTGCAGCTGCTGATTGTTCTGGATGAAAAAATGAATACTTTAGTTGTATTACGATAATAATTGATCCACTTATCAAAATATCATGATAAGGGTTCAAATGCCGAATTTTTAAAAGTTATTACTCTAAACCACCTTCTAATTTTTATTAGAAATAATTATGTTATAAATGGAAAAATTCCCACAACAAAGCCAGGAGACTCCGACTTACAGGTGAATAGTTAATTTTGCCAACGTTTCACCAATTCAGGCATCTTCAGGGGGAAAAAAATATTTAAAAAAAAATTATTATTTTAGTTGACATCTCACCAAACCTTCCAAATAATAATATTACAATATTATATAAAAATATTATAAATAAAAAAATATTGATGGTAGTAATAAAAAATGGATAAATTTAAACGATGAATAAATTTGATAATTAACTAAATGAGAACATGTGAGAAATATTTTTGCAGATTGATAAATAATTTCCAAAATTAGTCAATGATTATTGTTTTAATGTGTATTGTTTAGTTTTCGAATTTTGTTGAATCGGGAATATATGTATTTAGAAAACATATGGAAAAATTCGTATTTAAGAGTTTTAAAGAATACTCAAGATGAATCTAACTTGTTTTTTATTAACAAAACTTTCTCAGCCTACTTTACTTTAAACATCTTTTCGTTTTTCTAATTAATGGTACATTATAACTTATTTAATACAATAGTTAATATGTTCTTCTTATTTTGCCCCAAAAAAAGATTGTTTGGTATCTATTAAACTAAATATATGAGCAAAGAAAAGGTATATAAAAGATTTTCCTTTATTTTTACGCCAAAACTCTTAAGGGTCATTGGCGAATTGAATATCCATTTTATATTCTGTGATAGAATTTAACTCTATTAAAATACTGTTTCTTCACTTTTGAAGATTTCTCCCATTTTTAGTTTTTCTCTTAAAACACTGTAGCTACATATTACATTATATTATGGTACATTCTACATAATACACTGTCTTATCTTTGTGTCAAAAAGAAAATATATTTAAAGAAGAGAAGAATAGTTGGGGTGCTCAGTCAAAAAAGGAAGGCAAAAATAAATTATAATATTTATTTTTTACATCTGCCGAAAATATATTTATTTGAAGCTAACGGATTTTGAAACGAAACTTATTTTCCTTCTGCTAATGCAGAGTTATGTACTTCATAAATTAATAAAAAATATTATAAAATAATCTATATTTTCTTTCAAAGTGGTTTGAACTCACTGAAACGCCAACGATACACTGACCACGCCTAATTGAATGATCGTGGCCTCCAAGTTGCCAAGGTAACAAATATAGAGATAATAGAATAGTTTATAATATTTCAAAAGAATTATAATTTAGACAGATTTTATGCTGTAATTATAAATAAAAATAATATTACAGTAATAATGCCTCAGCGATTTTAACAAATAATTTTATGTAGTGGTGAATTTCTAAAACATCAGCGATGTTTTTATTAGAAGTAATAACAAACACTACATAAATGGATATTATTATGAACATTTACTAAATATTATAGAAAATTAATTCAGACAAAGCAAACAATTTTATTCATACAAAATACAAGGATTTTTTGTTCAAATCGTTATTTCTTCATATACCTTATTTATGTAAAAAAATGCTTTATTTTTAGAAATCTTAGATTAATATTAATTTAATAAAAACATCTAAGTTTCAACTAGGTTTAATTTAATAAAATATTTTTTAAAAAATTTTTTTTATTTATTTATTGAGATATATAATATTCTGTCTCGTGGACAATAATTATAGTGATAAATGAACACATTCACACCATATATACAGAAAATATAATATTAAAAAAAGGAAAATAATAACTAAATAATAATAAAGAAAACTATATTTTAAAATTAAGAAGAATTATTTAATGTGAAACATTAAAAATAAACTCTTTTTTTATTTACACATCAACGATGCCACGTTTCTAGCCCTCATAACATATATACAGCATTTAACTATAATATAATTTAATTTAGTTAAAATTATTGCTATAATTAATAAATGAATATTTAAATCAAATTCTTAAACACCAATTATACAGTAGTTATGAACATTATTATTGTTAACTAATCTAATAAAACTGCCATATCGATTAATATCTATTCCTCAATCATATATATATATATATATATATATAGAGAGAGAGAGAGAGAGAGAGAGAGAGAGAGAGAGACAAAGAGAGAGAATGGTAAATATATATCATTCACCTTTTATAGATTAGGCTAAATCGTAATCAGGTTAATGTTCCTTTTTTTTTTTTTTTTTTTTTTTTCTAATATGTAGTATTCATAGAGTGTGAATGGGATCTGTGAACACTATTATAAATGTCCTTGAGACAGATTGTTATATTTTCTAATAAATAAGAATAAAAAAAAAATATATAGTATTATTGTATGTTTGTATTTTACTATTTCGATTTTGTTGAAATGTAACGTATAGAACACATACTGAGAATGGAAATGCTAATACGCATTCTTATAATTTCAGTTTTATCAACATAATTTCAATATACAAATTAAAATTAACTATGAAAATTTATAAAAAGATAAATAAAAATAGCACAGTTATTCCAAAAATTAAAAATAAATGTAATTTATCGTTTTGTATAAATCAAATCAAGATTTCAGAACGAGCCTATAAAAATGAAAGTTGTGGTTTAAGGACAAGCACAATGCCATTCATTTTTGAGAATTTAAAAAAAAGGAAAAGTAGGCCGAATAATTTTTAATAAAAGGAAGTATAATTACATCGATTATGATTTTATTTATATTTTTACTATTGAATATTTATGTTTATATTTCCCACGGTGTTTCCATCATATGAAAATTTTATTTAATTTCTATTTTAAATTACATTTAAGTTTCGTGATATTTTTTAAAAATAATTTTATTGTTTGGCAGGCTTTCAAATAACTGATAAATCAAAATATCAAAGTTAGATGTCGAGAACGCATTATTGTAAGATAATTTTTTTTTCAGTAATAATATTCGTTCAAATAGAAATCAAATGACAAAAATTAATTACTGAGATAAATTTTTAAAAAAATTACATCATTAAATTTATATGTTAAATGTATAAATTGTTACATATCAAAATTAATTTTTTTTCTTTGTCAAATACACATGACAAAGAAAAAAAATTAACTAATTAATTTATAATTAAAATATTATATAGGTAGTTATTGTTTGAAAAAATATTTATTTATTTTGTAATGAGCTATCTTATTTTTCAAAAATTGAAATTTTCGCGAATATTTAGCTCAAATGCGTATATTCTTACATAAAAAAACTAGTTACCTTTTTATGGTTTTATAAGTAAATAACTATCAAGGATTCAGTGAATATATTTATTTATCTAAATGAAGGGTCGTAAACGAAAAAAATATTATCCAATATTCGAAATTTTATAGAAAATTTATAGAAATTTATTTGATCAAAATAAGCATAGGTGGTGTATAAAAAAATTATTTCTTTAATAATCAATTTTAGTAATTTTTGAATTTTCATTTGTAGTTCAAATACGTATATAGTCACATAACAAAAGTAATACTTTTTATTGCAATATTATTTTTAATAATTATCAAGTATTCAGTCAATATGTTTATTAGTTTAACTTAAGAATAACATACGAGAAAGATATCTAATATCTAATAAAAATAAATTTATTTGGTTATTTATTATTAAAATATTTATATGTAATTATTAAGTAAAAAAAATTTTTGTAATGGGTTATTGAAAATTAAAATTAAGAATTTTTGTAAATATGTAATAAAAATAATATGTAGCTCAAATGTGTATATTGTTACGCAATAAAAATATTTTGATCATTGAAATTATTTATTTGTAACGATATACTACAATCATATATATGTATATATATATAAATTCTTCGTATACTATATTTTATACATAATGATCAAAGAATTGATGGTTGAAACGCTTATTTTATTCGATATATTGCAACCGTGTAAAAACACGCACACATATATTATACATATATATTAATATTATACAAATAATATATATAATTTGTATAGTATTTTTTTTACATTACTAATGAGGATCGATTGTAAAAAATATTTATTTGATGATTTATTTGGTGAATGAAAATATTTATTTGTTTCGATATAAAGAAAAAAAAAATTTTAATTTAAAACCTAAATTTAGAATATAATAAATATATTTTATATAAAAATTTAGTAATAAATTATGTAAGTTCGAATCAGATAGATAAGTTATCAAGAATTAAAAAAATGGCCACATTTCGATCGTGTAAATATTTGCAGACTGCAACTTATCTAAGAATGTTTTAAAACGTGAGGAAGTTGGCCCGGTTTGAGTGAGAAGGGGTCACGTGACCTACTGCTCGCAGCCAATCCGGGGGCAGCTTTCCCCAAGGTCAGGTTGCCAAGGCAACCGTCATAGCTCGGAAGGCTATTGGCCGTTGAGATCCCGCGCGCGGGTTCACTTCAGCTGTCTTCAATCAGTTTCATTCGCGATGCCGTCCTACCAATACCTCAACGGTGGGAGCTACTATGCGGGCTCTGGCATCGCTTCGGCAGTCAATGTCATGCTCGATGACAGTTCCTATACAGGATCGTATATTTATGAGAGTTGTGAAAATTATCAGGAATATTACCCAGAATTAGAAGAATGGAAAAAGAAGTCGGTCAAATTGTGGAACGGCACAGATATTGTACACTGGATGAGTAGTATAGCGCGTGAGTTGAATATATGCGCGACAGACATGATGGCGGAGAAATTCGCCAACTTCGACGGATGTCAACTTTCAGGACTTACTCAGGACGAATTCATACTTCGTGATCGTCATAATGGACTTTACCTCTACAAGAGATTACAGGACCTATTGGAGAGTGAAAGAAAAAATTATTACATGCATCACTCCATGAAGCCTTATAACCAGCTCAAAATGGAAGACTACATCAAAGAAGAACAGCCAGTTCTTACAAGACTCGAAGTGACACCGAAGAAGAAACCGATGTCTCCTCCACCATCACCACCTTCTCCACCTGTACCCTCACCTCCAATCGTGATACCCACGGCCAAGAAAGGACGTGGAAGACCCAGGCTGCCCAGGAGGAAGAAGAAGACTGAGAAATTGGGTCGTCTATGGGAGTTCCTTCGCGATCTTCTCAAGAACCCGGATTACTGCCCTAGTCTGATTGTGTGGGAGAACCACGACGAAGGTATGTTCAGGTTCGTACACAGTGACAAAGTGGCGAAGTTGTGGGGGAGCAAGAAGGAAAACCCGGACATGAACTACGAAAAGTTAAGTCGTGCCATGAGGTATTACTACAAATCCCAAGTTTTACTGCCAGTTTACGGCAGGAGGCTTGTGTACAAATTCGGCCCCACGGCTAAAAACTGGAGGGTGGAAAATCCCAATTTCGTAAAATAATTATTTTTATGGCGTAAAATCGAGGGGAATTTCGCACCGAATGTATCAGTGCAAATCTGCAAAATAATGACGTTTATTTAATTTTATTAAGAAAGCTCTCTTTTCTATTTCTATTAATTTAGTAAATGTTGAATGGTTTAATTAAAAAAACGGTGTTATTAAATACCTTAAAAATAGACATAACTGTTATCCTCTTCATATAAACATTTTAAATTACTATAGTTACCAAAAGTTAAAAAAATCCATAACATTCCCAAAGATGGAAGCCTCGTGCCACGTTTCAACAAAATGTTGGTCAATACGTAAAGAATTATATTATATAATTTTTAGCAATTTTCGATTGATTTTATTATATTTTTTTAATTTCCTAAATTGATTATTGAAACGTATTTTCGAATTAAGGCATTACTAAAAGAAAACATGAAAAGGCCTAAATGTCATTCTATAAAATGGAGATAATGTGCTAAAAGTTTAAATGGCTCAAAGAAGGAATTTAAAAAGACTGCTAGATTTTTTTTCCCCAAATATTTTTATTGATTCCATTAAACATAGTTATAAAACTATTAAGTTGATTTCAAACTGTAAAGTTATAAATGTTATTAAAAGTTGAACAATTGTATACAGATCACCTTGATTTGTTCATAACATTTAAACAATTTTTGTAAACTTTTGCCAGAAAATTAGATATAAACTTTTAATTCACTCACGCATAACTCGATGTTGTTTAGAATTAAACATTTGACATAGTTGAAGGCAAGAGTTTATTTTTCGTGATGTGAGATTTAATTTCATTTGGTTTTATTAGTTTATAGAAATATTCCTTTTGAAATCTTAAAAGTGATTTTAGATCTCACTAAATATACTTGAAGCTAGTGATCAGTATTGTAAAGATTTTTCCGAATCTTGTAGGAGTTTTTAATGTTTAAATTAAATAGTATTCTTATTGATGTTGAAATGTTAGTCATTTATTGTACATAGTAAATATATATATATATATAATCTATATAATCGTTACTTTAAGTGCATAATCTGTGATTTGAAGTCCTATTTCTGTCAGGGTTAAAATATAAACTTTTAAACTTTCTAATTGTTTTAATTTTAATTTTTAAAATAAATAAAAAAAAAACAAAAAAAATTAAGTGTCTTATTCATAGACATTTAGTTGACTATATTCATATTGTAAATGAATTATATATGTTTTTATTTTATTTATATACTTAATTTAAATGTAAGTGTTGATTATAATTTTTAGATTATATGTTTTGTTATATGATCTTGGAATCAGATTATTACAGAAATATAATAATGTAAGCTAGTATTACCTGTTTGGGCTCTATTGTTAATAATTGTTACCTAATTACGTCATTTTAAAGTTTAGAGAATCGAAAGATTGTTAAATCTAATTGAATTTTATGTATGTTATATTTTCAAGTGTTTTCATGAAGTATATTGTATTTGACGGTACAAATATTTTTGATCGCACTACGCACATTCATTGGTATCTGAAATAAAGATCTCGTTGAATTTATATAATTTTATTTTTTCTTTCCTTAATATAGTTTCTTATCTCTCTCTCTCTAAAAAAAAAAAATAATAATAAAGAAACCAAATAAAACAATAATAAAGGAAGTATTATTTTGAAAAAAAAAATGAACAAAATTCTTTTATTATTATTTATTAAATAGTCGTTTTTATTCAAGTAACTTTAAAAATTTTTTTTTTGTTTGCAGCACGAATATAATTTTGTTGTACTATCTTTGTTTTATAATAATATATTCAAGCAGCTGATTTAATTTAATTTTCCTCATAACAACAGTAAAAAAAAAAATAATAAAAGAATCAAGTAACATGTTTTTTTTAATTTGTTTATTTATTTTTATTGTACAGTATACTTTTCATGATTATGAGTTAAATCAGTCAAATTTAATTTATCTCATAAATACTAATAGCAAAATAAAATAACTTTATAACAAAATAAAAAATAATAAATAATAGTTATTATAAACAGAACTATATTAAATAAAATAACGAATTACTCCTAGTTTAAATACATCAGGTTGTATTTAAACCATCACTTATGATTAATACTTTACAGCATTTTGGTCAAAACAAGATTGGAAACCAGGTATATTAATTCATATTTATTATTTATTAAATAATATTTTTTTTATTAAAATAACTTTTAGATTTTTTTTCCAATGGGAGTATACTTTTTTTTTACTCTTTCTTTTTCATAAGAACTGTTAGTAGTAATAGTAGTAGTAAAAAAGAATTAATTAAAATTAAAAAATTAATTTTAGAGTTGAATCAATCTAATTTAACTAATTTATTTATTATTTTTATTGTACTCTCTAGGTTTAATGATCATATGTGCTAGCAGTTAATGAATTTAGTTGATCTTATAATACTTTTAGCAAAATAAAACAAATTTATAACAAAATATAAAATTATATATTATAAAAAAATAGATTAAATTAAATAATGAATTAACAATATTACGCCTAAATCACATATATAATGTTGCATTAAAATCGCCACTTATTATTAATATTTTACAACAGTTTGGTCAAAAAAATATTTCAAACGAGGTATATTCTGAATTGGACTTTAAATACACAGTAATTGGACAAAATGATATAATATATGAAAGAAATAGAAAATATATTAAAAGCAAGGTTCAATTGAAAGATTAATAATAAAAAAAAACTAAATTAAAACTACTTACATATTTTTAGCTACACACGGTAATAATATTAAAAAAATATAAATAAATAGGCATTATTGTAAGACTGAGAGTATGATAAATTCTTAATAAATTTTAAAAGGGTTCACTAATTTGATGTGGTCTACAAGCTACATTAAGTGGCACATATATTCTAATTGTTCTAATGCGTTACTTTGTGTCCATTTATTAATGTAATGCATTGATATAACACATGAAAGAAATACAAAACATAGTAAATATAAATAAATAATAAATTAAAAATTAAATAATAAAATTGAATAATCGATGGTTGGCCGTTGTAATATTGAGGAAGAAAATGGTCCGAGGTGGTAGTCATAAAAATACAAAATAATTAAATAAAAATAAAATAAAATAAAACAAAAATAAAATAGTTGTTTACACTATTTTAAATAGTTTTATGAATGCCACCCCGGACTATCTCTTTTTTCAATAAATAATAAACACAATAAATAAATTAGTAAAATAGAATTTAATCAGCTTGAAATTCAAAACGATTAGTTATAAACAAAAGGGATATATACGTATTGAATCATGATTAACGGGATATATTATTAATAGAACAAAATATTGTGGAACATATACGTAGTAAACTATACATGATAGTCCGTGGTACAGACCACTTTTTATCAAATTATTAATATCCGTTTGAAACTTCGCAAATATCTTCATCTCATCGCAATCTACAAATATTTTATTTACGAAAATTCTCGAAATTGGGACGCCTTCAATCTGGAGGTCGGCAAAATTTGTCTATTTAATTTGGTACTAAAAACTCGTAAATACTCCTTTGCTTTCCACTTGGATTGTAAGATAACTTGAGATCAGAGTTGAGAAAAAAGGTGGCCTTAAAAAATATTCAGTCGTTTCGCGTTACCTACATCTCCAAATTGTCAAAATAACGAGGTTGTATATGACAAATGGCCCAATATTTTTGCAGGCTAATTTTTTTTATTGATTTTGTGATAAAATTATCTTACGATCCAAATGAAATGCAAATGGTTACTTATGATTTTTTAGTATCTAATTAAATAGACAAAGTTTGCCGATCTCCAGATTGAAAACAACTCAATACCGAGAATTTTAATAAATAAAATATTTATAGGTTACGATGAGATGAAACTATTTACGATGTTAATAATTTGATTTATTTTATTTTATTGTATTTATTTTTATTTTATTTTATTGTATTTATTTTTATTTTGTTTTATTGTATTTGTTATTATTAAGTTTCTGTATTATTTATTTATTTTTTTATTGTAAATAGAGTGTTAGTATGCTCTCTGAACGCTATTATAAATGTCCTTGATGTGACAGAATGTAATATTTCTAAATAAACAAATATAAAAAAAAAAAAATAATTTGATAAAAAGGTGTCTGTGCTACGGTATATAAAATATCAAGTTATTGGAGATATAAAATTGATCAACCTTTAAAACAAAAATCAAATGTATTAGAAAATATTGTTAAATATATCTGGAATGTGAATATTGGAGAATACAAAAAGCAACTAATTGGTATGAAAATATGTATTTGACAAAAGGAAAATTGATTATTGACGTCTCAGTATCGAATTAAATAAAATAGGTAATAATTACTGACATAAATAACAATAATGAAGATCACTAACGAACCAATTGAATATAAGTTTGTATTTCATCGCAAGTAGGCTAGGTTTTAGTAAACATGTCAGATAAGAATATTACAACACACTTTTTACTTTCCTGTCGCTACTAGGTTTGGAAAATACTGCAATTGGGTCAAATTATTTAATAGGGCAAACTATAAAAGTTATTTAATTTGAAGAAAAAAATTCTCTAAATCAGACGACCTTTAGCAGAGATATGGTCAATTGAACTTTATATATTTTATAAATTATTAGTTATATATTCTACACAGGTGTATCTGGAAACCAATTCTCTTATCTGTATGTTTACTTTCACTTACGTATATATGTAATAATTGTAAGAGAAAGTATTGTGATCGTGAAAATTTTCGAATCTGAGTTCTCAACGGAAATACGCGTTTTGAGGTACCCTGAGTCCAAATAATCTAGTCCCGAAAAATGGTCTGTGTGTCTGTGTGTTTATATGTTAGCAGTCTAGATCAAAAACGAAAAGTCGTACGAAACTGATGTTACGTTTTTAAGATAGGTATATGGTTTAGATGTGACAGCAACTTTTTCCTTAAAATCGGCTTACCGAAAATGCCACTTTATATTAACGATGAAACATATTTTCACAATATTCTCAAAGTGGATTTTAATATTATTGAGGTCTTATCTCCATTGATGTCACTTTACATTGCTTAAATGCCCAATGTTCATATACGTCTTCCACTAAAGTACCTTTAGTATGGTTTATTAAAAAAATGAACTCTCTCTTATTGACATTAACTATAAAAAAATGCCTAAATATGAATTTTGAAAGAATATGATAATTAGAAACTGAAGAAAAAAAATAAAAATGCTTATCCTTAAAAAAATGAATCTCAGAAATAACACTCAGAAGGTATACGTATAATATATCGTTGGAAAGCGAAGAATTTTAGAAAAAATAATATCAAATAAATAGAGTTGTAGAAGGTAACGGAGAGGGAACTTCTATACTTATTTTTGTTTTTTTTATGATCTGAGATGTGTTCTAATAAACATAATTGCATATACACTCTTTTTATTAATAACTTTGTTTATTTAATATTTTTTTCCCCAATAATTTTCATTTAAAGTAAATATAAAACTGTGTTTTTCATTCAGATCTTTATTGTTGGAATTGGTCAGTATTTATAAATATTTTTCATGAAATACTTCTATATATAAAGCTCCGTATGGTCCTTTTTTTAAATAATGAAATTATATTGAATAACTATATACCTTTGAAAATTTAATATTAACAATTTGATGTGAAACATAACAATATAGGCCCCGTTATCCTTTGACGATCTTCAACTATACTTTTCAGTATTCACTTTTACTATCGATTAAAGAAAAAAAAAAGAATAAAAATCTGTAAAGAAATTGTTTTCCAGAATTATTTTTGTAACAGAAATCAACACAAGCTCAACGGCAAAGTCTACACAAAACCTACGTCACGGGCCGCGCCTGGATTTGCTCAACACAAGCTAAGATTCAAAGCTAATTCCCCAGAGTTTTTAACTTATTTAAACTTTGATAAGTAAAAAGTAGAAATAAGAAATTAACTAAAAACAATAGAAAAAAATTGATTTTTCATTAGTATTATATTTACCATTTATTTTAGATAATTGTTATTTTATTGTCCATAAATATATATTTTTTATTTAATATATTTATATATAATAATGCATAGTTATTCATAACAGTATTGTCCTTTAGCTTTTAGAACATTTTGTTGCGAAATTTCCATATTTATACAAATTTGCCTGAAAAAATGTAAGGGCTTAATTCTCTAAATGAAATAAATTAATAATTCTGTTTTATTTACATCTATCTGACCCATGAAATTATTAGTGAATTTTACTCGTATGTTTTACAATCATTATATTCATAATGTTACCTACAAAATTTCTAACTATAATTATCCGATTGCTTGCGATTCAATTTGATTCGACGAAGTTCGACGAATTTCAATAGCACTTTGAATCTATCTGCGTTTTTCAGTTATCTTCATCACTTTCACTTACCCATATATGAAATATATAGTAAAGGAAAGTATTGCGATCGTGAAAATTTTTGAATTTCAGTTTTCAACGAAAATACCCGTTTTGAGGTCCCCTGAATCCAAATAACCAAGTCCCGAAAAATGGT